ACGACACGAACCTACCGTAAAGTGTCTCCGTTGAGTACCCCTAGGGGGTAAGAACCACAGCACCCCAGGTGCAGCTGAAGGGCCAGAAGAACGGCACAAACAGAGCCCGTGCAGATTTCTTGGGTAGGCGCTGGGCCGCTATTCCCTGCATAGCACGCGAAGCGCGCCAGGGGCAGCGCCGGAGGTACCTCCAGGGGGGTCCAGCGACGACCCAGCTAAGCTCGAAGGAAATTAGTCCTGAGGGAAACCGGTGCTGAACCTGGGGCCTTCCCCGAGGACCGACACCCTGAGTTGTCTGACAGTCCCGGGGACCGTGGCATGCCCACGAAAAAAAGCGCCGACCAAACTCAGGGCCCTTTTCCTTCAGGACCCGCTCCCCAGATGGCGACCAATGAATCCGCGCGGACCTCCGATGGCTCACGTGCTTATGCCAGTTTTAAGCTTCGAGGCTGGCCGAGAAGGACGAGAAGGACGACGACGACGACGACGACGTCTGGGACTAGGACGTTCACGAGGAGGAGAAGGACGACGACGACGACGAAAACGGCGACGACAACGGCAGGTCTGCGCGTCCCTCGCTCGTGGGGCGACCCCTTGGCGCGGGATCCTGCGAGCACCCTGGCCCCACGCCGCAGCCGCCGCCGCCGGAAGCGCCCACGACGCCGACGACAACGGCACCTACGACGGCGCCGACGACGCATCGGCGACGACAAACCGGCGATGGCTCCAGCAGAGGCAAGACCCTCGTGGGCCCTGCGGGGTCCCGACAGGAGGCTTCCCAGGAGATTGCACGGGGACCCCAGGTTGCACGGTGTCCCCCGGGGCCGTAGGCGACCCGAGGAGGAGGAGGTGGAGGTGGAGAAGGAGGCGGAGGAGGAGGAGGTGGAGGAGGGGAAAGGGGGGGGAGGAGATGGAGGAGGAGGAGGAGGAGGAGAAGGAGGAGCAGTGTAAACCCAAGAGACATCAACGATGTTGGAATTCAGCCCTCCATCCAAGCTCCCTCTTCATAGGTCCCTACAACGGTTCATTTCCAGTGAGAGAACTGCCTCGTTGGAAGACAACCGTTTGAAGACCTTGACGCATGCCAAAACAATGTTCTCGGGATTTCCACGCCACGGGTCAATCTGACTGCTGCGTCCTGACGATCTGGAACCGTGCCAGAACGCATGCTTGGGGACTTCATCACCGCGAACCAACATAATTGCTGCACCCGCATAATATTTCGAACAACACGTGCTGGTACGCTGATCATGGGAACCCGTGAGACTCTTGCAGTGTTTAAAAACGAAGTTGCGCGGCGCTGAGACGAGAACCACATTTTGCAAAAGAACCGCCCTTCAATTCGTGAAACTCATGAGAATGTTTAAAACGAATGTGCGCGGCGCTGAAGCGAGATCCACAGTTTGAAAACAACCCGCCCTTAATCCGTGAAACTCTTGAAGATGTTAACAACGGATGCACGCGGCACTAAGGCGAGAGCCACATGTTAAAAAACACCCGCCCTCAATCCGTGAAGCTCTTCCAAATGTTTGAAACGAATGTGCGCGGCGCTAAGGCGAGAGCCACATTTTGAAAACGATCAGCCCTCCATCTGTTGACTGCTGCCATTTTAAAGCTTCAGAATCATAATGGTGAGGTGCGACGAGGAGAACTTAGCTATAAGGAAAAGGGATGGATGAGGAGGAGAAGGAGGAGGAGGAGGAGAAGGAGGAAGAGGAGGAGGGGCCGTAGGCGACCCGAGAGGGAGGAGGAGGAGGAGGAGGAGGAGGAGGAGGAGGAGGAGGAGGAGGAGGTAGGGGGAGGAGGAGATGGAGTAGGAGTAGGAGTAGGAGTAGGAGTAGGAGTAGGAGGAGGAGGAGGAGGATTAGGAGGAGGAGGAGGAGGAGGAGGAGGAAGAGGGGGAGGGGGAGAGGGGAGGAAGAGGAGGAGGAGGAGGAGAAGGAGGAGGAGGAGGAGGGGGAGGCGAGGAGGGATCGCCTCCACCCCAGGTCCGTCCCTCGAGCCCCGGGCGGGCTGCGGGCCTCGGGGCGCGCGCATCGAGAGCCTCGGGCCTCCCTCCAGAAGGCCGACGGATGGACTTCTCTCCAGGCCGCGGGCCTGACAGTCCTCCCCTCCTCCTCCTCCTCCTCCTCCTCCTCCTCCTCCTCCTCCTCCTCCTCCTCCTCCTCCTCCTCCTCCCCTCCCGACTCCTTCCTTCCTCGCTTCCCCGTGCTCGTTCTTCACTCCTCCGTTCCTGATGAGGAACACGTCCAGGGGGCACTGGCTTATGTTGAGCGTTGGCAAACATGGGTTTAGAGGGATTTGGTTTAGTGATGAATGCTGGGGGGCGCCCACCCCGCCCCGTTCCACCATCCCGAACTGCCGTCACCCGAAAAACACCAGCTACGGCAGACCTGGTTCAGTGATTCTGGCCAGTTTAGGGGCTCCAGGGCCCTACTGCTAACCGGGTCCCCTTACCTGGGATTCTGGCTATGCCCGAGACAGGTCCTCGGCGCTATCTCTCGGAGCGTCTTTTTCTTGTGGCCCCAGGGCATGAGGACTGACACTGGATGCCAAGACTCGGAAAAGCGTGGGCATTGACCGACAGTCGCTCCGCTCGGAGCCCAGGTCGAACCCGGAACTGCGATCATCGAGCATCCATCCTCAAGACTCGATGCGGCAGGGACGGCAGGAAACCGCTGATGGCGCCGGCCCGGCCGATGCACGACAGGCGCGCCTCAGGTCGTAGTACTGCGGCATGCCGTGGAGGGGCCCAAGTCCGGTCGCCGCGACCTGGCTCGCAGTCGTCGTCGCCACAGCCGGCGGCGTCCTCGGCGTCGTCGGAGTCGTTGGCGGGGCAGCGTTGGCGGCGTCGGTGCGTCGTCGGCGTTCTCGCCGTCGCAGGCGGCAGCGACAAGGAATCAGGGAGAGATCGAGGAAGGAGGAGGAGGAGGAGGAGGAGGAGCAAAAGGGAGAGGAGGGTGGGTGGGTGTGGAGGGGAAGGAGGAGAGCTCGCTCAACCTCGCGCAATCTCCGCTGTCCGACGGCGGAGATCGCTCCAAACTGGCTTGGCCCAGGCCGTCGAAGGCGGACCAGGGCGAGCTGAGACCACGGCAGCTCAACAGCGGCCCCCGGGCCCCGCCCCGGGGCCCCAACACGCACCAGCTTCCCGAGCTGCGCCGACCCGTTGCGACAGGGGGCGCCCCGAAGGGCGACTACCGCTGTCTCAGTCCGCCCTCCTGCGACGCAGGCGGCCGCCGAAGGGACCACTACCCAGGACGAGGCACAAGTCAATCCTATGCTGGGGCGGCCAAGATGTTCCGATACCGCTACTCCCTGGGGACCTCTCAAAGGGTGCGACTTGACCAGGACGTTGACGCGAATCCGGCGGTGGCGACGAGGGCCACCCAAGAGGCCCAAAAGGGGAAAAACGATGGACGGGTAGCAGTACGGGAACCTGTTCCTCCTCTGAGCACGTACTTAAATAACGCTCGTTGCAGCACGATGGGAACAGACTCGGAACACGGAAGCCAGAGCGCCTGGTGCCCCGTGTGAACCCAGCCAGCGCTCGCGCTGAGACAGTCCCCGCCACGCTCGTGCTAAAACAAAACCCTTCAGCGCCACGACGACCACGTGCTAAGACCATCTACACCAATGCTACGACAGTCCACGTCACTCACTCACTCACTCACTCATGCCATACGCCGGAGCGCGTGGGCGAAAAGAAAACAGGAAGGAAGAAAGGATAACAATCAGCTGGCGAATGATACGGATTTCGCCTGGAACGTACACGGCCGAAGGCTGCTGATAGTACGCCAAGGCACTGGGCATCACATGCAACGTATGTTCAACGACTGCATCATGCTACTGGTGATCGGGCTCATCATTATGATGTGCAACGAGTTCAGCAACACTTCGCCACTCGATGGGGTCCTGCAGGCACTGAGCCCAAGTATGTTCTGGGCCAAGATGAGCAATCGACGCCGTGTGTAAACATTTCGCCCACTCGTGTTTGGGTCTGCCTCGTGGGTTTCACGCTCGTATTCGGTTGGACATGTCCTCCTGAAGGCGGACTTTGTAGGACAATTAACACATAGCCAAACTTTATTCAAACAATCAAACTTAGTAGGACAATCGCCCCCAGGCAATGTTTGGACTATGTTTGAATACTCCTCCTTTAGGGGGACACGCCAGACGTAACGCTCGTGCTAGTACGACCTTCCTTCAGTGCCACAGCGACCTCCCCCGTGACTCCACGATCCACCTCTGAACGGGACGACGCCGCGGCGGAGGGGGGGGGCGGCAATGGCAGCTTATCAGAGATCCAGGGATCGAGCTAGACGGTGTTATCCGTTTTCGTTTTGTTTTCGCTCTGTCTTGCTTTCCCTTTCGTCTTCTGTTTGGTGTCGTTATAATGTTGCGTTTGTGATGTGTTTGTTTTCGTTCTGTCTTCGTTTTGCTTTTGCTGCAACACGACGCCAAAACGAAAACGGCCCACGAAATTGCCAAGACACCGTTTAGCTGGAACCCTGCGGGGATCTGCTGACCCGGATCCATGCAAACGCGGGCCAATCGGGCTTTTGGCAGGATCCTGCAGGACCCTGCGCGCTAGCCGGGGCCAGCGCAACCCTGGCTTCGCAGTATCCTGCAAGATCCACCGCTCCAACAGGATCCTGCAAGATCCTTCGCAGGACCCCCGTTTGCATCGACCCCCGTCTCGCCGCGCCCGGCAGTTTTCGGGCCATAACTAAGCTCTTAAGCGGCGGTTGGGGACGATCCTGGCACCCCAGAACGCCCTCGGCGAGGCGCAACTAATGGAGAACGCCCCGAGGCTAGAAAGCCGCTGGGGACCTACGAAAACATTTGAAAACCGCGCAGCCCCCCTCCCGCCCCAGGACTCCCAAGCCTCCCGAGAGGAGCGAGACCGCAGCAGACTTGCGCACCATCCCCCCCCCCTTGATGTCCGCGCGCGCGAGAGCGGCGGGCCTCGTTGTCGTTGAGGTACTTCCACGCCACGCGCTTCACGTCCTCTGGATCGGGCGGGTGGCAAGGGGGGGAGGGTGACCTGAATGGGGGGTGGCCCAAGTGTGTGAAGGAGCGCGTTTCCTCATTCGCGGCCAGAACGAGCGTTATGTTGGGGGAGGGGGTGGGACGGGAAGCGGCATAACGTAGGGCCCCCCCCCAGACTGTGGTGCCGGTCGCACTGCGGCAGGGCCGGGGACGCAGTGAGGGGGGAGCGTTACGTCATGGGGTGGGAGGGGTGGGAGGGGAGGGGGCATAACGCGCGATGTGGCCCAGAGGAAAAAAACACTTTCAAGACAAGGGCCCGAAAGGGGCCCTTTAGAGCCTTGTTTTTTCACCCCTCATTAAAGCCACCCCTCAGAACCACCCGCCCGTCTTGAGCAGGGACCGACCGTACTGGCATTCCTATAGGCTCACCATGCAACGTTCTCAGAACAGAAGGATGTTCCAAGGACCAACGCAATTTCATTACGACGTAGACCAGGGCGCATCAAAATAACTCTGTCTCAATCAGAAATGTTCCAAGCAGATGCCGTGCAAATCACAAAAACAAATGTTCTTCGAACATATCTTGGCGGGCCCACAGGCGAGCCAGGTCGCTTCGCCACTGCGTGATCCTCGGCGTCGACCGCCTCGATGCGGAGGAACATCTCCGCCAGGGGGATGCTGCGACCGTAAGCCAGGATCTCCTCGGCTGGCGGGGGATGCGGTGGGTGCGGAGGAGGAGGAGGAGGAAGAAGAGGAGGAGCAGGGAGATGCCGCGACCGTAAGCCAGGATCACCTCGGCTGGCGGGGATGCCCAGGGGGTGCCGGCGGGGGGGAGTTGGCCCGCGGGCTCCTCGCGGAGGGGGGCCGCCCCTCGGAGGCCTCGAGGGGGGCCTCGGAGGACCCCGGGGGGCACAGACCCCCGACGTCATGATCTTTTCCTTGCTGTCGACCCCTGGATCCGCTCCAGGAGCGGATCCAGGGGTCGGGGGAGGAGGAGGAGGAGGGGGAGGAGGAGGAGGAGGAGGAGGAGGAGGAGGAGGGGGAGGAGGAGGAGGAGGAGGAGGAGCGGGAGGAGGAGGAGGAGGAGGAGGAGGAGGGGGGAGGAGGAGGAGGAGGAGGAGGGGGAGGAGGGGGAGGGGAGGAGGGGGAGGAGGAGGGCTCGACCAACCATTCCCCTGGACCGGTTTCCCATCCCGCGCCGTTCCGTGACGCCGTCGCGGGCCGGCGAAGGCCGCGCGCGGGAGGCCGAGGATGGCAGAAAAAACCTGCCGCCACGGTTTGATCATTGCCCCCATAGGGGCCTGCAGGCGGGGGGGCTCCGGCCGTGACCTCGGAGGGCCTCTCGGGGACGTCGGCGGGCCGGCGGGGGCCTCGGCGGCGCGGGGTGCTCGCGGGGCGCGCGCGCGCGCGCCTGAGCCTCTGCCTCCACTCGGAGCCCCCAGGCCTTCCCCCTGCGCCCGGCCCCCTTCCTCACGCCCGTGGCCGTCGAGCACTTTCGTTTCCAGAGGCCTGCTACCCTGACCTTCCAGAGTGCAACAAAAACACTTAGGACGTCGATGCCCTGGTGCCATCTTTTAGCCCTGCTGGAAGGTCATGGTAGACGGGGTCCGAGTTGATGGGGTCGGAGGATCGCCCCGCATCGCCGATGCATCGGCATCGCCAATGCATCGGCGATGCATCGGCGACGCATCGGCGATGCGGCGGCGACGTCGGTGTCGAGAAGATCGGGCTCCGCATCGAGCCGCATCGTCGATGCATCGGCGATGCGGCGCGATCCTCCGACCCGTCTGCTCGGACCACATCTGGGAGGCCTAGAACTTCCCCTCCTGTTCCCCAGGACCCCTTTGGTCATGAGTAGATCACGGAAAACGGTGTTTGCTGGCTTCCAGCCTCTGGGGGCCCTTCCTGGGCCCCGGGACCGTCAACAAAATCTACCCAGGATGGACAACCGCTCCCGGGGAATGTGTCGAGACCTCTGGGGGTCGACGTTAAAAAAAGAAGAAGTCATGGCGTCGGGGGTCTAGGTCTTCACCTTCCTTCATTCGCTCGCGTCCCTGCCTTTTCCGTTTGATGCCTTTCTTCGGAGGGTGCGCCCTGCACTGTCTCATTCCCCTGTCTCGTGACCACCGGCCAAAACTCCTACAGATACGCGCTGACTGTCCACGCTGGCTGTAGCTATATCGGCTGTATGGTCGATGGCATGAAGCTTGCCAGGTCAGACTGCCGTTATCTAGCTTTCCTGCGAAGCTTGCACTTTGGCCTCGCGACGTCTTGCGTGCACGAGCAGTCCGCCACTCCTTCTTGTGCACGTTGAGGCGTGGAAGAGTGCCAAGGTCTGCCTGATAGGGTTACTGTATTCTCATAAGGGATCCCACTCCCACTCGCGTCTCGTTACATGCGCCACCCTCCTCCTCCTCCTCCTCCTCATCCTCCGCCTCCTCCCCGAAACCACGAACCATCGTAACAAGACTATGGATCCGCGTTCCTGACGGCACGATCGGCCCAAGATGGCCCCAATGCGGCCTAGTGTCCCAGATGGTTTCACGACGACCCAAGGTGCCTCGAAAAGAGCCCGAAAGGGCAACCAACAGGTTATGACTCACAATGGCGTCTTGTTTATGATTCTCGCAGTCTCGCCTTGTCGGGCTTCCGTCAGATCAAAACGGCCCAACAAGCCTCCACGATGCTCCCAAGACGGCAAAAGAGGCCCCCAAGAGGGTCCCAAAATGGCACAAGAGGTCCGACGATGGCCCAAGAGGCATCCAAGACGGCCTCAAAACGGCGCAAGAGGAACTGAGAAGGTCTTGCGATGATCATCATCATCAGCATCAGCACCAACAGCATCATCAGCATCATCGTTCTCGCTATTATCCTCATCAGCAACATCATAACCAGCATCGGCATCTTCGTCAGCAGCATCATCATTAGCATCATCATCATCATCATCAGCATCATCATCATCAGCAGCAGCATCATCATCATCATCATCAGCATCATCATCACCATCATCATCAACAACAACCTCATCAACATCATCAGTATCATCATCAGCATCATCAGCATCAGCATCAGCATAATCATCATCATCATCACCATCATCATCATCATCATCATCATCATCATCATCATCATCATCATCATCATCATCAGCATCGACATTCCCTCAACCCTGGAGACGTGACATGTCACACGTGACGGCCTCCCGTGCCCACTCGAACCGTCGTCACCCAGAATGCTGGGCTGGCACGGCGGCGGGACTCGCCGCAGGCAGCTGGATGCTACCACGTGGACGTCACTTGTCCGAGGCCCGCGCAGCGTTCTCTCGGGGTCGGCGCTGGACCGCCCTCCCCCAGCGCGCGGCGCGAGCCAGGATCGGCGAAGGAGGCGCCGACAGGGGAGGGGGGGTCACCAGCGCCCGACCAACCAAACCTGTGCGGGCCCGCGGCAGCTTATGCTTCTGCTGGTGGTGCGTGTTGTTCTCCTCCCAGCGTGAGGAGGAAAAGGTTCACTGCCCACGAATTGGAAGGAGTCAGGGGGGAGAGAAGGACAACGAAGGCGGGGTGCCCATCCGAGGAGAATGGTCTGTTCCCTGCCTGGGGTTTCATCCCCAAGGCAGGTCCCGCCGACAGGACCCCCCCAAAGCTACCCTGACGATGTTCCCAACCCCTGCGCAACGCATGGCCAGAATAGCTGGGCAGACTTGACACGGGGGTCAACGTCGCAAAAAGACATATGTTCTGCGAACGGTACGTGGGAAGCTCGCGAGGCGCGCGGTCCGCAGGACACCGATCAACGGACACGGGCCGGAAGGAGGTGATTAGTTAGTTCCCTGTGTCGAAGGGTTCGCGGGGCGAGGACTAAGAAGAGAAGGTGGACAGGAACTTTAAAGCGTCAGCGAGGCAGCAGCAAGGGGACATAGCAGCAGCACGAGAGTGACCACAAAAGACGGTCAGAGGAAGGATGCCAGCAATCAGCCCTCGAAAGTGGCGACGGTTTCGCGGACCCCTCCTCGAAGGGATGGAGAGGTCTAATCTGAATCTGCGTAAGACCCCAACATGGCGACAGCTTCACTGATCGCAGCCACCCTCAGGGATAGCGAGGTCTAATTTGAATCAACTTGAGACATCACTCCGCTGGAGGCCCCAGCAGGCCTCGAAAGGCCGGACAGGTCCGCAGTTCGCACCCCCCCAGGGATGGCGAGGTCCCGCTCTGATCTGCGTAGCACCGCACCAAGTTGCTCCCCCCCAGCAGCCCTCGAAAGTGGCGACCATTTCGCGAAACGCATGCTCCCAGGGATGGCGAGGTCTCATCTGAATCTGCGTAAGGCGGCACTCCGCTGGAGCCCCGAGCAGCCCTCGAGAGTGGGGATCGCGAGGTCTAATCTGAATCCGAATGGGGCCCAACTGTGCCCCCCAGCAGTCTTCGAGAAGGCCGACAGCTACGCAGATCGCAGCCTCCCAGGGATGGCGAGGTACAAGTAAGAGGTAGGTACGAGACAAGAGGAGAGAGAAAGAGAGAGAGAGAGAGAGTGAGAGAGAGAGAGGGAGAGGGAGAAAAAAGAGAGAGAGAGAGAAAGAGCGAGAGAGAGAGAGAGAGCCAAGGGAGGGAGACGGGAAGGAGACGGGATGAGGACGCCGTGGAAACAACAGCTCTCTATTCAAAGTGAGAACCCAACAAGGGATGGTTGGGAACAAAAATCACATAGCCTCCCGACCCACGGGACTTGCGAGACTGAGCCAACGCCCGAGCTTCCAGCTGAAGCTGGGGAGAAGATGAGCAGGACGACAACGAGGAGGAAGAGAACGACGACGACGAGCCCTCCCTCATGCCGTTCCGCTCCTTGCCCAGGTTGGCGCACGCCGACTCCGTGGAGTTCGTGGCGCTGCAGAGCGCGTTCTTCAGCTCGCGCTGGCCGCGCGCGACCTGCCCCCCCAGTGGGCGCCCGAACTCGGATAGTGACCGGCGGCGCTGGCGGCACGCTGCCTGCTTCGGATGCATGCTGCTCCTGTAGCTGCTGGCTGCCCCGAGACGCTCCGAGCTCTGGCGCATGTCCGCGAACGAGCAGGCCACCGCCAGCGCGCTTCAGCGAGGGCGCAGCGGCGACTCGAAACCATCAGTCGAGCCATACACGATAAGAGCAGGACTTCACCCCCGTCCTCGCAGCGAGGCGGTTTGGGTCGAGCTTTGAAAGTAGGCCCCTACCCCACATTCCCGCGGTCGAACGGGAGGGCGCTGAATTAATTCACTCGCTCTGCAGGGCCAGCGGGCTGGGCCCAGGCCACAAAGTGCCCAGAAACGTTGCACATCAATATCCGATGCGTCTCGGACTCTTTCTGGGAAGGGGCGCCACAAGGCCGAGGCGCAGTGGATGTGGATAAACATCTGGCATCTAGGGGCGTGGAAAATCTGAAGTGATCATGGTAAGTCAAATAGCATCCGATTCCATGGGAAGCGGATGGCAGATAACGTCCAATTCCATGCTGGGGTAGTTCAGTATGGGGAGTGGACGGATAAGATAGGATAAGATCGATGTAATGATCTTTCCAGCACATAGCGAACACACGCGGTGTCGGGGCAAATAGGGCGCGCGTGCCTTGAGCCAAAGGCAACGGCGCGCGAGCTATACTCCCGATCCTATATAACATCTCCCAAAGAGCTACCCTTAAAGTCGGGAGGGGAGGAGACGGTGAGCATAGCTGCGCAGCCGTTAGGCTCCACAAAAGCCGCGCGCACGACTGTTTGCAAGAAAAACAGTACGTACAGTCTGGCCGAACACCAGACTGTAAGGCGAGTTTCCTCGCAAAGCATTTTCACGCATACGCAAGATAGCCCCTTGGACATCAAAGGGCGATCGGCCCGGCGAGAGGTAAGCCAAACAGGCTGTACCTCCCCGAGCAAAAGGGTATTACAGCAAAGAGCCTGAATCAACCTGAGCAGGCTCGCTGCCAAGCGTGAAAAGTAAGGCTCGTTTCCGAGCAACTAGGAGGGCGCCTCTGTATTAGGCGCCCGCGCTGGCAGACTGGACCGCGGGGGCAACAAGGACAAACTAAAACTGGTTTGACTTAGGCTTGTTTCTGTCCTCAGGACCCCGAAAGGGAACAAACTGCTCCACGTCATACTTAAATGACTGAGTGCCTGACATCACTTCCAAAAGCAGCTCCCAATCGATACCCCCCTTTGTATGCCCATCTGCGGTCATATCTCTAGTATCACACCACTGTACGTTGTGCACTATACCTATATCCATGAGCTCACGTATCCAGCTGATATATCCCAGCAAAGTCCGTTCCGTCGGTATCTTAAGATCTTTGCTGGATAGCGATTTGTATACAGACTCAGCGTCTATAGTAAGGGATACTTTAATGGCTAGGCCTCCAACTTCACGCATATCTCGTAGTTGTCGTGGAGTAAGTGCCCCTGCCTTGAGCTCGTGGAGAGTGATGAGCGTGGGGTAGGATTCATCAAGGTTGTGTGCAGCTGCAAGTGCATCAGCGGCATAGCTGGACCTCACCTGCAATCGGTGTGATTTGCATAGTCCGTCACATTGGTGGATGACGGATTTGCCTTGAGGCGAGTTTCCTCGCCGTAATACGTTAGCCCCACGGATGCCGTAGCCCTTGGTCTCATCGTCTTCCTCACCGGTGAGCTTCCGATACCCCGAATCACTGTGTATGTCTACTTCGTTCGTCGGTTTCATCCAAGTCCAAGAGAAGGTGATGCGTTTCGGGCTGCTGATCAGCTTTCGCGCCACAGCATTCAGACGCCTGACTTGTAAGTTAGCGGGCTCTTGGATCTTCTGGAGGGAGACCACATGCACCATAAGCCAGACTTGGATGAGAAGGACATAGGCGAGAGCTCCTCGCAGGCTAACGAACATGTCGGTGATGAGTACGGTAGCTTTGGCGTCAGCCGCCGCTCCCGTAAGTTCAGGGTGTGTGATAGGACGTAGATGTTTAATGTACTCGTCCTGATCCATGATCACATCCCCTTGTTCATTCTTGGTGCAGCGAACGGCGCAGTTCGTATAATAATGTTTGTTGAGCTTGCATTTACCAAACACCTTTTCGACACGTTGTACATCGTCATCTACGCTTTTCTCTAGGCCTGTCATGTTGATATCATGGACATGTTTTGCCGTTAACAGATCTTGACTGAATTCAAACTCAAAATCGTAACTTCTCGGTGTGAGGCCTATAGCTCGTGTTGTCGTACGAAGCCTGAGGGAGAACGCTCTTGGGGCGTCCTTTGCACCCGTCCCTGGCTTGAGGCACCTGAGGCAGTGTCGGCTTTCATCGTAAGAAGAGAAGCCTGGTAGTGTACGAAGCACCTGGGCGCTTCCTGGTGGAAGAAAACAGCAAACCATGCGAGTTTCCTCGCCGGTGGCATGGGCAAGTTCCTCATAGGTCAGACCTTTGAAGAACGCTTTGTCGATATCCATAGATGCTAAGATCCATTCTGGATGACATGCCGCCTCACTTGCCAGGAGCCTCTGGGATTGTCTTCGAGCAGCTCCCGAAAAGGATTCTACAAACGCCTCCGTGTCCATGAATCCGCGAAGTGCAAGTCTGAGACGGATGGTTTAACATTCTCGGTGCCTACATTCACAAACTTCCATTTGTATACATACCTGGATGTCATGATGTTCGAAGCTTTCGATAGGTCATACATCTCGAAGCACCTGGTATCAAGCCAGATCTTGAGTTCGGTGTACAAAGCTTCACTAACCTCTTTAGGGTGTGCTGCTATATCCGCTTTGGTGAGTGGGTCGTCTTCCTTGACCACCACAGCACGTTTAGCAGCCGATGATACATATACTCTCATCGTTGCGACCATGTCAGTTTCAAGCTGTGCAAGTTGGGTCTGATCCAACACTACCTTTGACATTCCTGGTGTGAAACATAACAAAACATAAGGACCATGTTCATCACTGGCAAGAGAACAGCCCTCGTCAGGTGTAATCGAGCATAGAGAGATAAGACAGGGCTCTTGTGGTTCAGGCTCGTCTCCGAGCGTTTCCGACACTATGATATCTTCCTCGTCCGCGGATGCTGAGACCAGGACACATTGGTCGGGCAGCATAGTTGTTGGGACGCAGTAGAGATGATCGTCGGTAACCGTTGTGGGACGAAGGTCCATAAGTAGTCCGTCGTACCACTCCTCCATCATCATACCCTCGATGTCATGTTCCTCGCTTTCTTCGTATATTGTAGACAGGCGACCTTCACTTGGTGATGAAGCACCTGGGGTGTCTGGTGGAGGCCTGTCTCCAGGCTGGTCATGTTCTCCAGATGTTGTGCCCAAGTGCTGATGCTTGGCAAGGTCGTCATGAAATCCTAGGGAAGGAACGTGTGACGTCAGGCACTGGATGAGTCTGGAGTGAGTGCTACCAGTGATTTGAGAGATGTTCAAGCCGGTGCCCACGCACTCATAGTAGTGGAAGGCTGGGTTGACGTCGTCGTCGTAGCGGATCAGTGTAGACCCGGTGGCGTAGTTAACCGCAGGTAGACTAGACACGCTCTTGGCCAGTCTCACGGCTACAACAAGTTAAACTCGGAAATAATTTCGCACAAGATACTGTAGTGCAAGGTGCACGCGCGGGTGGAACTTGCTGTCGTCCGACAGATTGAGGTTTCCCTTGTAGTCTGGAATATAGCCAAAGACTTTGGCAGGTTTCCCTGCGCCAAGGTGTGCCACATATGTAAGGGCGGTTTGCATGGCCACGTTGTCCATGCCAAGTTCCTGGTAAGGAGGCATTCAATGTATAGCGCGTGGCGAGCATCAGGGTACATTACAATTACCTCACGTGATCCTGCCTTGACGACGACGTGCCCTCATTCAAGCACGTTACGGATCGCAGGAAACGGGCCATTCCAGCCTCCATGGTCGTCCTCAGTGGCTGTAGGTCGGTGATAGTCGACCAAGCCCCTGCTGAGTAAAGGCGAGCACCATCTGGGGCCGTCTTAGCCCTGAGAGCACGATTTGTCTTAGCTACCGCCGTGGCTTGAGTTATTGCTTCCAAGTTAACTTCCCCCATGCGGCGTTCTCGTTCGTGGCCTGACGTCTCGGGCCCCTTAGGGAAGTCAAGGGTGTCGAGGTCAGGAAGAAAGGCGGGCTGTCGCCCAGTGTGTGCTTGGTATGGCGATACTCCGTTGTAAAACGCGAAAGCGTTGGTGACGAACATGCCTTCGGCCAACACTCTAGTAAATACAGCGGGGATGTTGTGTCTGTTCAGCTCTTCCTCAATCATATGGAGAGTAGCCCTAAGAATGCCGTTGCGTGACTCGATCGAGGTCGCGTGTTGGCCAGGCGCTCGGATACGAAGTGTCGCACCCTTGTTCGCCATCATGGCCTTGGCAGTGTCATTGTTGAGGGCGTCTTCTCCATCCGAAGACAAGACTTTGAAGGGTCCATGATAGGCAATCCAGCAATAGTGGCAAGCGTCGAGTATAGTGTCACGTTCTCTATCAGAAACCTCTTGGCCTACTGCCAGGCGAATGCACCGGTCCATGATATGAAATATGGTTCGTTTCTGATAAAACACGAGATCTACTTCGCCTTCGTCAAGCCAATTTCCAGGAAGGCTTACGGAAGGTAGCGTAGAATTACCTGGACGTTCCCACGCTCTACATTCCCGACATGTGTCACATAATTCTTTGATCATATTTAGTCGAACGTTGTCCAGTCCCACTTTGTCTAGGGTCAACCTCATCTTGGGTTCCTTCGCGTGGTGCCACCGCAGGTGCAGTTTACGGAGTTCCTTTTTGACTACGTGAGGTTCGTGACTACGAAAATTTTGCAGACTGCGTTGGATGTCGAATCTCGTCCAGTCGGGCAGTCGCGAAGTCCCCGAGCCAGTTGAGGCAAGAAGGTTCCTTGTGGCTCTCCACAGTCGATCTCCTTCGTCAACTGCATCTGGTGGTGGT